TGGTAGTTTCAGAGAACCATTTTCAATACGTTGATAAAATGTTGAATTGGACAGAACACCACCATCACTGTCCTTGCCATACGCTCCAACATCTATCATTACAAATTTGTAGTTCGCATCAACAACTGCCATTAGAACAATCGAAAAAAACTGTTTATAATTGTAGTACATGCTTCCAGACAATTTTGGACATCTCAATCTAATATGCTTCCCATCAATACTACCTACGCAATTCGGGAAATTCAACTTTTCATAAAATTCTAAAGCTATCTTTTTAAATGTATCAACTGTTGGAGTTGGCATATGTTTGCATTTCAATGCGTTCCAAATTGCTTTACACACTTCCATGACAATATTTGAAACTGTAGTTTTGGATATTCTGAACGAGAAGGCAATTTGTCTAAATGCCAGTCCTGTCGCTAAAAACCTATTAAAATATATAAGTAAATATGTAATTAATTCCTTCACGAATTTCACTATCTGCAGGGTATCCAGTTTAAAAATAAATGATTACACTATGTACCTAGCTGCGACACATATATTATATACTTTCCAAAAAATGTTGAAGTAATTATTATTTTTATTTTTTATAACTATCTTAATAAATTGACTAACATTGCAGAAGAAGATGCAAAAAGAAAGTGGAGAAATCTGAGGGATACTTTTTTAAAAGAAAAAAAGAAAGTAAAAAAATGTCGTTCAGGAGATTCACAGGAAAATGCAGAAATTTACACGGGAAAATGGATTTACTATAAGCTAATGCTTTTTTTAAAAGACACAACTACGCCACGAAATACTGAGGGAAATATTTCTGACGAAGAGAATACTCAGCAGCAGAATTCAGAGTTATCGGATATTGAGGAGAATGAACATTTTAGTGGCTCTTTTACAGGCGACATAAGCTCTAATAATAATGATGATCTTGAGATTGAACAATATGTATCAATGCCCGAATTAGAAACTGACTCTTTTATTACTCCTGCTACAGCACCACCAAACATTTCAAGTACTTCTTCAAATTGTTCACAAAGTAGTTCTATAAAACGGAAGAAAAAACAATCAAACAATGATTTTGAAAGTGAGTTGTTGAAACTCGAGGAACAGAAACTAACTGCATTACTTCAATCAAATTTAACTCCAGTTATAACTGATGACGAAGACATGTTATTTTTAAAGTCACTTCATCCATATTTTTCTTCTATGAACCCATTACAAAAACTGCGCATAAGAAACCAAATTCAGACTGTATTTATAAATGAATTATCAACCCCACCACAACAGCCACCATCATTTAATGAAGAAATATCATATCCCTCTTCTACCCCATACCTTCATCAGTATTCTTCTCAACAAATGCATTATCAAAATACACGTGCAGGATTGTCATCAAACATGCATATCCAACAGATAATCAACCCAACTAATAATATACAAGACGGAACATTCGAAAATACACCTGCTCCAAATTTTAATTTTTAATCAAAATTTCAATTAAAATTATAAAACTTTTAGAGTTTAAAGTATATTATTAATATATTTTTTATTTTTTTATTTTTTTTCTTTTTATAAAAATGTCAAGTTTAAACTGATGTATTTTATTATTTTAAAACGTCTTGCTTAAGAATATTGTATAATTTTTACTTTATTTTGTATCATAAAATGATTATGAATATGAATATTATATTGTTAAAGTTAATTAAGACTATTATTACTATAAAAAAGTTAATATTTTAAATATGATATGTGACGAATTTTTACTTTATTGTTAAACAATTAATTTATGTTATACACCAAAGAAGGTTATATTTTATTTTCATTCTATTTTATATAAAAGAATAATTTTTCATTTGCATATTTAACTAATGTATCAAATATTAATTTTTTTTTTCCTAAGCCTACCTATGAACAAGTAAATAAATTACCTTATTGTAACAAGCAATCTTTCTTCTATTGAAATAGGTTCTTGAAAATTTGTTGTTCGAAGATCAAATTCAGGTGTAATTATTTCTAAAATATAATCAAACGTTTCTGATGTCATTCTTGTATATGCTCGAAACAAAGCATTGTCACTTCGTAATTGAGGGTACAAATGGTAAAATTCACCAAACGTAAGTCGATCATTGTAAATAAATGTGTTTGCCATTGATCTTTTATTTTTTTTATACTTTTTGTACAATAAATATTTAAGTACAGTACTTTCACTAAGTAACATTTTTTTTTGTAGACTTAAATTCATAGTAATTATCAATGCAAATATTAAATGTACTTTTTAAAACTATCCACGCGTATTTCACTCAAGTATGTATCGCCGTACACTGCGATGTCGGACTACTCGGACTCACATTTGCCACAAGTGCGGCGTTCGAAAAACGTCCGATTCGTCCGATGCGAATTCGTTCGCATCGGACGCACTCGCCGGACTCACGTAGGACACACCGCGGCGGTGAACGGTACGGTACCGATACGGTAATCCAAATTTTATTTGTGCGGTAATTTTTACCGTCGTAGCTTGCACACTGATCCGGTAACGATATTAGTTTCCGGCATAGATAATATAAGAATGGATAGGACATGCCTATACCAGTTCCATATGAGGCCGTGTGCTTTTTTGGGGAAGAGAGAACGTAAAGAGAGAAAGACGATATGAGGCTTTTTAAGGTTATGTGCAAAACTATTTTATTAAATAATAATAATAATAATAACACGATAGTCAGTTATATTTAGATATTTGTCAGTTTGTATTTTGATTGTTGTGCCACCTGTGACTGGAAAATGGAAATTGGAAAATAATATTTTAACAAAATGAAATTATATAAATTTTATTTATTATTATTTATCAATTATCATATCAATATTTGCCTTATATAACCTTAAAAATAGTATCACTAAATTTTCATGTGATAAGTTCTTATGTCCTATCCATTCTTATATTATCTATGGTTTCCGGACGGTAAAATACCGTACCGGAACGTTTACGGTAAAAACTAGCACACACTGCTGCGGTAGTGCGGTACGATATAATATCAGAGACGCATACTGGAATTTCGTGGTTCATACCCTCTCAAAGATTTTTTTTTACATTAATGTAAGATTAATTTTAATATTTTTTCTAATAACGAATAAGCCCTTACCCTCTCACCAGACGGTTTTTTCTGTAGGTCAAATAAGTGCCAATGATATATAATAAGAGTCTTTATATTTTTGTACCTAATTGTCTGTTATTATTCATTTTAAAGAAACTACATCAAAATAATAATAAACTAATATAATAATTTAAAAACAATGTGTTATTGTGTTTATACTACTAAAATGTATATTTTAAGGATATTTTAAAAAAAATTCTTGAAGTACCTACTCATTGTTTGGTACTTTTTATTGGCTAGTATGAATTCATCTTTTGATATTTCAGTTAGTATAAAGTTATTTTAAATTGTTGTCAAAGACAGTGACTATTCTTTCTTTGAATTAATCTTGGAATTTCATCTAATGTATATAAATAAAAATTTAAAATGTTTATTGTTATAAATTATAATATCCATAAATATCTATATCTTACTATTAACTTAATAAACAAACGTACGGACAGACAGACCCAACGTGGGCAGATAATGTCCGATCTTGTTTACGAAATCCACAGTCCACAATTGTATTAGACTGATAATATTGTATAATTGTTCTAAAAAAAATTAATTTCTAAATTCTGCCAAATTATATGCTATTACGTCTACTGTTTTGGTGATAAATTTATTTATAAATTTGTAAGATAATTTTACTAAAATAAATATTGGTCGAATGTTATCTTGATTTCATCACAGTCCCATGCATTATAAACGTTATATAGCTTTAAATAGTTTAATTAAGAGATAATTAAAAAATGATTAAGTATTCATTATAAGCGAATTAGGTCAATATGGCATACCTACATACCTACTTATCTATATTATCATAAAATAATCGACTAACATTTGAAAAATTTTCTGGTCCATCGTGTTTTCGACTCCATACGTTAAACAACTCGTACACGTTTTTACTTAAGTTATAATTTAAAAATTAAACTAATATTATGGATTCAAATAGTTCATCCGAAGACGAATGTATAGCTTTATTAGCAAGTCTGGAAAATGATTCGTAAGCACCTACTTCAAATCTAAATATCTAGTAGAATAATTATATAAATATTTTTTTTTAGAAATATTGCCAGTAATAGTGGCAAAAGACTATGGGTTCACCAAATAAATGTGGAACGAAAAGTATATGGAGAATATCACACATTGATGCCCGAACTTGAAAAAGATTCAAAACGGTTTTATATATATTTCCGTATGAACTACGAATGCTTTAATGAAATATTTGAACTTATACACGACGACATTACAAAACAAATCACCAATTATAGAGAACCGATATCTCCAAAAGAACGATTGGTTGTTGCTCTCAGGTAATGTAAATGTATACCTTTATTAATATTAAAATATATATTATATATATAGCGTCAGACGGGGGCTTTCGTATAACTTGGCCGGTCAATCATTTTTTATTTATCTATTTCTTGAGACGTTTTTTTATGTAGGTACAATATAAACTAATAAGTATAATATTATGTTGATCGTGAATAGAATTTAATTTTAAATGGAATATATTATTATTTTTAACACTTATGGTAACTAGTAGGTACCTATTAAGTAAATTAATTATATTGATAATTTGTTTGTCTTAGGGCCGGTATTTCAATGTATACTTAAGCTTAAGCTTAAGGCTAAGTAAAGCTTAACTATATTTTTCCGTATTTCAATCAAGGTTTAAGAGATAAACACTACTTTTTCGAGGCTTATCTTAAGGAAAGCTCAAGGTATGGTTTAAGCTGGTCAGGTGTGGTTTATCTATGATATTATTGATTGATAAACAACATTTTAATAAACAGTTAACAGACTAGTTGAACGACTCTACATTAACTACTTGACTGGTAACTATTATATTTTTAAAAAAAACCTCGTAAAATTATGGATTCTTCATCAAGTTCAAGTGATGATGAAACTATAATCGCATTTGTGAATAGACTTGGTCAGCCAAGAAAACAACGCGTTTTTCGAAACCGAACCGATAATTTTCTCGAGTGGGACGAAAACGAATTTTTTAATCGATTTCGTTTAACTAAACGATGTGTGAATATTGTATTGGACCTAATCACTTTCAAAATTCAATCGTCTACTAACCGGTAAGAATGGATTCCTATAATATAAATATTTTTAATAATAGTATTATTATATTTTATATATTTAGGAATCATGCAGTTACACCGGCACAAATGATTTTAATTACAATACGTTTCCTTGCATCTAGTGGTATGTTAATAATTACAGTAGGAGATTTTGCAGGGATCCATAAAACAACTGCTGGAAAACACATATGGAAGGTTTTACAAGCTATAGGTTGCTTGAGTGGTAAGAAGATCAAGTGTTTCCATTTCGGATACACTATAAACCGATACATTTTTGGGTGGTCCACCACCAGTTCCTTTAATATAGGATTTTTCAGCAGTCACTTTTTGTTTTAGTGTTTTTTTTATATTATCCCATTTCTTTTTTAATATATTCGCTGGACGGTGTTCAAGAGATATGCTGTTGCAATTATATTCTTTACTTAAGTCTTCCCAACTAAACTGCTTTTGTTTCCATGTTAATGAATCCGATTTTTTGCACTCAATTTTGTCCCATCGTTTATGTACCAATGTTTTCAGCAACTCGACTTCGTCTGATGAAAAATTAGTACTTCTCTTGGCCATCTTTCTTCCCAAAAAAAACTATATGCAACTATTGTTATATTTATTATTTAGCAATTTTGTTCTTGGTTAAAAAAAATGTACTTAACTGTTTTAAATGCTCACAAGCTCACATCAATAATTATTATATCACATTATCACTGATAACATACTGTTTTGTACAATATCACGTGCGCTTAAAGTGATTGTATACTGATAAGCCATGGAAGAATAAACAATATAGCCATAATAAGGCTTAAGCTAAAGCTTAGCTAAGTAGAAGTTTAAAATACTCGTTCTCATTTAAGGTTCACCTTAATCATAGTTTTTGGTTTATCTTAATCCTAAGATAAACTCGCATTGAAATACCGGCCCTTAGATATGACTAAACATTAACTTAGGTACATCATGAAATGTAGTTATAAAATCATATAAAATAAACTAATGTAAATAAATGTATAAAAAAATGTAATTAATATTAGTTAAGTGTATTATGCTATAGTATTGGTATAAGAATATTACATTATTCTAAGTTAGTTAAGTTCGACCGAGGAGTAACAGATCCGTTGTTATTTGTCCAGCTATCATTGTTGTGCATAGATTCCAATGGTTGTAGACTATACAATTCTGAAGCTGAAGGGGTTTTTTTTGTGCCTCTTCAATATCTTCTAACTCTTAAATTTCCGCATCGGCCACAAGTTGTGCTATTTTCATTTGCAGTGAGACTTTTCTTCGTTTGGAAAGTTTATCAACCGTTTTTGACCAACCCATAAACGTTCTGTTGCGTTCATAATGTTGTGATAATGTTATCATAGTCAGAATACAGTCTGATAACATATAGCAAAATAATGTAACATTGATCATTGATGTAGTAGAGAGTCTATGTTAGCATGTAAATTAAAAAGATATAATAAAGAACAGACTATAACTATAACTAGTTTTAACTTCATTATTTACCCTACTCAAACATGGCGCAGTCGGTTACAAAAACCTAACTTCGGAAACAGTGATTGAAACGGATAAGTCATGGAGTTCAACAAACCGGAAAATTTGAAGTTGTCCGGAAGCTTAGCGGAAAATTTCAAAATTTTTAAAGATGAAATAACAGTGTTTTTTGAAGCGACGGAAACCACAAGTAAGCCAATGAAAACTCAAGTTGCCAGATTATTAAATTTGCTGGGCATTGAGGGGTTAAAGCTGTATAGGTCATTCAAAACAGACAATACCAAAGAAACAGTGGATTCTATTCTACAAGTATTAGAAGAATACTGCACCCCCAAGCGCAATGAAGTTATGGAGCACTTCAAGTTTTTCACAAGAAAACAATTACCAGAGGAGAATTTTGACAAGTATTTATCAGTACTTAGAAATTTGGTAAAAACTTGCAGTTTCGGGGAAATAGAAGATAACTCACTACGAACACAGGTAGTATTGGGAGTGGCAAGCAAAGAGGACAGGCAAAATTGTTAAGGAGTGATTTACCGTTGGAAAAAACAATCAAAGTATGTCAAGCTGTCGAACAGACGGAAACCAATTGCAAAATTTTGGCAGACGATCAACCACAGGACATTGACTACATGGAGCGACAGAAGGGATTCAACAAAAAGGGAACATGGAGCAGAGGAAAAGAACAACAGGAGCAGCAATCGCAGAAACAAACGGTATTTAATTGTAATAAATGTGGTAGGCGTCACGGTATAAAAGAATGTCCAGCATATGGGAAAGTATGTATGAATTGTAAAAAACAAAATCATTTTGCGGCTAAATGTAGAAATAATAAAGAGGTTGATATGGTGGAGTGTGAGGACCAAATATGTGAATACTTATATCTGGATGAAATACAGAATAAAAATAGCAACACATGGGTGGAAAGGATAAAGATAAATAACAAAGATTTTGAAGTTAAAATAGATACGGGTGCTCAATTAAATGTTATGCCACAAACATGTTTTAAGTTATTGGGTGTAAAATTGTTAAACAGTAATGTAGTAATTAAAGCTTTTGGTGGCACCCAGATTAAATCTAAGGGTAAAATAAATGTAATTATTGAAAATAAAGAGAAAAAATTAGCTAGTACATTTGAGATTGTTGAATATAACGGAATGCCAATATTAGGTTATAAAGATAGTAAAGGATTAAAGTATACAATGAGTGAAATTGAAGAAATAGAAGAAATAGAATTAAAGGAAAAAATTATAAAAAAATATAAGGATGTATTTAGTGGAATAGGAACTTTCCCAGACAAAGTGCAAATTAAATTAAAAGAAGGTAGTGTGCCTATTGCAAATAACCCTAGAAGAGTTCCAATTAAATTATTAGAAAAGTTGAAAGAAATGTTAGTAAACTTGTGTGAGAAAAAGATAATTGAGAAAAGTGAGGAGCCAAGTGAGTGGCAAAATAATCTAGTGTTGATTGAAAAACCAGATAAGTCTCTTAGGATGTGCTTAGATCCAAAGGATTTGAATAAATGTATTATAAGAGAAAGGGTAGAAATTCCTACGTTAGAGGAAGTAAGAAATAAGTTAATGAATAAATCATTTTTTACAATAGTAGATCTAAAGGATGGGTTCTATCAATGTGAATTAAAGGCCGAGTCTAAGCAATACTGTGCATTTAGTACACCTTTTGGGACATACCAATTCAACAGACTACCATTTGGCATTGCATGTGCTCCTGAATTATTCCAACAGTTAACAAACAAATACTTTGGTAATATTAATAATGTATGTGTGTACATAGATGACATTTTAATTAGTGGGGCAACAAAAGAAGAACATGATGAGGCACTGGAAAAGGTAATGAGAACAGCAAGGCAACTAAATATTAAATTTAATAAAACAAAATTTCAGTTCCAAAAAAATCAGATTAAATATTTGGGTCTCAACTTTAGTCAGAAGGGGGTAGAACCCGACAAAGAAAGAGTAAGAGTGATTACAGAATTAAAAAGTCCTACAAACATCAAAGAGTTGCAATCAATTTTGGGCATGATAAACTACTTAAGAGCATTTATTCCAAATATGTCAGAAATAGTGGGACCAATGAGAGAGTTGTTAAGAAAGGACAGTATGTGGGTATGGAGCAAGGAATGTGAGGCGGCATTTAACAGTTTAAAAGATATTTTGGCACAAGTACCTACATTAGCAAATTATGACTATAGGGATAGTTTTGAAATACAGTCTAATGCGTCACAGAAAGCAATAGGATGCTGCTTGTTCCAAAAAGGTAGGCCTGTTTATTATGCGTCCAGATGTCTGAGCAGCACAGAACAAGATTACGCACAAATAGAGAAAGAAATGTTGGCTATAAAATTTTCCTGCGAAAAATTTCACCGGCTTATCTATGGACAGAAAATTATTAAAGTTCAAACAGATCATCAGCCTTTAATTTCGATTATGAAAAAAGATATACATAGGATACCAAACAACAGGTTAAGAAGGATGAGAGTATATTTATTGGGGTATAATCTAGATGTTCAATATTGCCCAGGCAAATATATGTATGTTGCAGATTTGTTAAGCAGAAATTATACTACTCATACTGAGAAAACGGATAAAACATTAAATGATATAGTTCACACAATAGAGGATATAAGGATTGAGTTTAATAATAACAAAGAGAATGAATTTAAAAAAGCAACATCGGAAGATATAGTATTAAGCAAGATATTACAATATTTGAAAAAGGGATGGCCAGCAAAAATAGAAGATTGGGGTGAAATTAGACATTTTCATAAGATAAGAAGTGAGTTAGTCTGTGAAAAGGACTTGATATATTATGGTTGTTGTTTAGTTGTTCCACAAATAATGCGCAAATACATAGTTAACAAACTGCATGAGACACATTTGGGAACAACTAAAACAATAAAGAAAAGCAAACAAATATTTTTTTGGCCCGGGATGGTATCAGATATAACCAACTGTGTGAGCCAGTGTGAGACGTGTTTAAAGTTCAGTAAAAATAAAATTAAAGAACCATTGAAATCACATAGTATACCAGACTACCCATTTCAAAAGATAGGAATCGACATAGCGGAAATAAATGGTTGTAATTACCTAGTGGCAATGGATTACTATTCAAGATGGTTGGAGGTTCTTAAATTAAAAAATAAAACAAGTGAGTCAGTAATAGAAGTGTTAAAAATAGTTTTTAGTCGACTCGGGGTCCCAAGGGAAATAGTGGCTGATAATAACCCATGTGGGTCACAACAATTTAAGGATTTTTCAAAAAAATGGCAGTTTACAATAATATTATCCAGTCCAAATTATCCAAAAAGCAACGGATTGGCTGAAAAAGCAGTGGGAATCGCAAAGGATATGATTAAGAAAGCCACTTATGAGAATAAAGATTTAAAATTATTTTTACTTAATTATCGAAACACACCAGTCGCTGGTCTTAAATATTCTCCAGCCCAGCTAATGATGTCCAGAGAATTAAGAACACCTAGTAATTGCTTGAATCAAAATATATTTAAACCAAGAGTGGTGAATTGTAGTGTAGAAAATCAATTAAATAAAATTAAACAAAAACAATGGTATGACAAAAATGCTGGATCAGAGGAAAAAGTATTTAATAAAGGGGAAAAAGTAGTTATTTATGATAAGTTTAGAAAAGAATGGAATACGGCTGAAGTAATGAGTAAAACCAAATGGCCTCGTTCCTATCTGGTTAAAGATGGGAAGGGAAAAATATTGCGTAGAAACACTCACTTCATAAAACCAGTAGAACAAAGTATTGTAGAAAAAACCACCAAGTATGATGATATTGAGGAAGGTGAAAAGGAAGAAAATACTGAATTAAAACAAAAAAATGAATCTAAAGAAAACAAAAGTGAACAAAAGAAAGAAAAGGAACCTAATTTAGAGGTAAAACAAAAAAGTGAGAACACTACAGTAAATAAAAAGGAATATTATACTACTAGAGTGGGTAGGCAGATAGTGCCACCAAAGCGTTATAATAATTTGTAAGTAGAATCAGTAATAAAATATCATAGCACAATAAGTTAGTATTTTAAGTTGTTACTAAATCAAGTATAATAAAATAATTAGGTATTAAGTTCAGTTAAAATTGTATATTTTGTTGATTATGTATTTATGTGATTAAATGTTGTTTACATAATATTATTAACTATGAAATATATCTTGAAAAGGAAGATGTTGTGATAATGTTATCATAGTCAGAATACAGTCTGATAACATATAGCAAAATAATGTAACATTGATCATTGATGTAGTAGAGAGTCTATGTTAGCATGTAAATTAAAAAGATATAATAAAGAACAGACTATAACTATAACTAGTTTTAACTTCATTATTTACCCTACTCAAACACATACTATGTTTTTTTTCTTCTTTTTCCTTAAAATATGTTATTATTCTGTCAACTCCAGTATTGTGTGAATCTTCAACATCCACTCGGTTACGAGTTCTTTTTTTTGTTTGTTGTACTTGTCTATCTTGTGTTTCTTCTATGTCGCTAGATGATGCTTGGTAACTGATGGAGTGGTAACTGCAATAACAGGCGAAACCGTTTCTTGGAGATTGTTCGGGACTTGCTCGGAATGCTGCATCAAATTATTTTCTTGGTGTATTTCATCGAGTGGTGGTATATTTGATAATGTGCTGTAATAATTTTTAAAATAATTTTGAACTTTTGAACTTAAAATAAAATAATGATTTTCTTACCTTGCTGTTTTTAAAAAAGGTTTTAAAAATTCCATTTGAGGTGCCCATTGCCATTTTTTATATTTTATCAAGTTTTTATTTAGTACATCATTCACACCTTGTCCAGTAGTAGTTTTAGTCGATCTTAAATATTTTGAATAATTATCACGAAGATTTCGCCATTTTTTGAATAATATATCTCCTAATGAAATAAAATTATGATAGAACTATGGGGTGGTAAAGTGAAAAAAAAAAAGAAATTTTTGGATTTATAGGTAGCAATAATTTAGTTTAATCTAATCTTAGGGCACTATTTTAAAGTATTTGAGCAAAATCTTAAAATACTTATTCAAATACTTTTTAGCTACTTTTATTTCTGTTATATTTGAACTTTTAAGTGATGTTATTTTTCTCACTTAAGGTGCAATATTATACGTTGGGTTTTATACGTTATTTTAATTTTAAGCGAGTTTTAAGCATTTTTACAAAAAATTTATAATTTGTATTAACTCGCTTGAAAATGAATATAAAATTGTCTAATAGTCGCTTATACTGCAACACCACGTATCTCAAAATTTGATAAAATGAGATTTTTATCGATATTGATAAATCAAATATTTCCCAGATGTTTTGTTCCGTTATTTTTTTTTGTTAAAAATGTGGTTACACTGTAAATCGTGAAAATGATAACACCACTTATATCAAAACCTTGTATCAACATAACGTATCTCAGCAAAATAACACAGCATGACAGTAGCATTGTGAAGAAGTCGACCTAAAGTAAGTTTATTCAATATATTCAGTTAATATTCTGTTTATGTAGTAGTTTATTTCATTTTGGGGAGTCTGTAATACTAAAAACTGAAAGAGTCATACTAATTAAGCATGCACAAAATTAGTTATTTACTATTGAAAATATACAATTCAATTTGTTGAGATAAGTCTAGTTAAAAAATCAAATAAAATGAGATCAGTGGTGTTTCCATAATATATTTTATAGTTATAGTTATTTGTATTTTTTTTTTAGGTGATCAATTATTGTAAACTTAAATGGTTAGTACGAACATGACGTCTGATATTGAGTCTAACTATGACAGTGATGATCTAAATTTATTATCTGTTGATGAATTGTTTGATGCTGTTAAAAAAAACATAATGGTAAGACAACAACTACTAGGATAAATAATAATGATAGTTCTATGCAACAGTATAATATCACACCTTTTGAAGATGGCAATAACTATGAAATAAACTTAAATAATATTGAACTCTATGAATTTGATAATTTTAACAATCTGCTGGAACAAAATACTGAGCATCAACATGTTGAAACTATTGAGTGTGAAGAAAAAGGTTTACAGAGTATAGATGAGGAAACGTTGAATACACCTAGCACAATAATTTCTCCAATAACTGAGAACCAAAATATTGAAGTTGTTGAATATGAAGAAGACATTCATAACAATTTACAAAATGATGGTAGGAAACGTAATAGAGTTTCAAATCCAAATTCTTGGAGCAGAAATGAAACTAAAATCAAAAGACTTAAAGGAGAATCATACATAGGGTACAGAAGAAAGGAAAAAGATAACACTTTGAATATTTTACATGACACACCTCGAGAAGGACGAAATCTTGGACCACCATGTCAGTCTAAAGTATGTGAGAAATGGAAAACAAGATTTTGTTTGGACATAAAAAATGAAGATCGATTAGATATTTTTAAAAATTTCTGGTCAATGACATCGTGGAGAGAAAAACAAATATTTGTTTTATCACTGGTAGAAAAAGTAATTCCCAAGCAAAGAACCACTGAAAGCGCCACATCTCGAAGAAATGGTTCTTATTTTTATTATTTAAAAGTTGGGAATGATAAACTAGGGGTCTGTAAACAAATGTTTTTAAGTACTCTAGGAATTAAGGAAAATACATTAAGGTATTGGTTGGAATATAAAAATCAGTATGGATCACAAGCTCCAAGATATGTTAGAGAGGAAGTGGGAATCGAAGATGAAGAAATTTACTCCTTGGTAAATGAAACTAATAAGCACATAACATGTAACTCTAGGAGAGCAATAAAACACAAAAATAATTACTTGAATACATTTTTTGATAAACTTCCAAAACTTCCATCTCATTACTGTAGAAAGTCATCAAGAAAATTACACTTACAGACAGAAATAAAATCAACAACACAACTTTACAACATTTATTCTAGTCAATGTAAAACTGATAATGAAAAACCATTATGCCGAAAAGCATTTGACAATATTTTTTTTAAAAAAAATCTTTCAATTTTCTCACCCAAAAAGGACCAGTGTGACAAATGTTGTCAATATAATTTGAAAAACTTGCCTGAAGAAGAGTACCAAAAGCATGTTTTAAAAAAAAATGAAGCAAGAGAAGAAAAATCCAAAGACAAAATATTAGCAGCTGCTGGTGAATGTCATGTTATTACATGTGATTTAATGGCGGTACAATTTCTTCCATATTCACAAGCAAGTTCTATATATTTTAAAATGAAACTTGCTGTTCACAACTATACTGTATACAATTTGAGTACTATTTAGCATTAATTATTGGTTTGATGAAAGTCAAACTGAACTTGTAGCATCAACATTTGTTTCATGTTTGATTGATGTTATCGAAGAAACATTAAAGAAAAGTTTAAAACCAGTTATAATTTACTCTGATGGTTGCACTGCACAGAACCGAAATTGTGTTATGTCAAATGCTTTATTACATTTATGTATAAAATATGACATAACTATAACACAAAAGTTTCTAGAGAAGGGTCACACTCAAATGGAGTGTGACTGTGTACACAGTGTGATTGAAAGAAAACTTAAGAAGACTGATTGACTATTTACCAAGTCAACTAACTCAGCTAACAAAAGAAGCCAGAATTTATCCATTTCCATACACTTCAAAATTATTAACATTCAATTTTTTTTCGGATTACAGTAATAAAAAGCTGATGTTCTATGAATCAATAAGACCAGGAAGAGTAGCTTCTGACCCTGTTGTGACAGATTTAAGAGTTATACAATATTGTCCAATAGGTGTTATATTGTATAAACTGAACTACAGTGATCCTTTTAATGAGTTGCCAAGAAGGCCAAACAAAATTGATAAAGAAGATATTTTTAAGTTTCCCAAACTTCATCAACACCCCAAAAAAATTAGCTTGGATAAGTGGAATAATCTTCAAAGTTTAAAGTCCATAATGCCCTATGATTGTCATTGTTTTTATGACGCATTGCCACATATGGATGAGAGTGTTCGTAAAGCCAAGAAAAAAAGTAAAAATGAAGACCAAAAAAATACTGTTTAAATTTGATTATTTTTTTTACTTGTTGTTTTTTACTATTTTGTATTATATTATTTTTAAAATACTATTTATAAAGTTTTAATTTAATTTTAGTTGTAACAAAAGACTGTTCAAAAGTGTTATTATTTTTATTTACTTGTTGATTTATAGTCATGATTGATTATATTTTTAAAATATTGTTTAAATGATGTATTAACATTTTATTTATTGTGTAACAAAAGACTGTTCGAAAGCAATGTTAATTTTATTTACTAGTTAATTTATACCTAGTTATGTTTTATTATAATTCTTTTTTAATTAATATTTTATTTGTTGAGTAACGGACTGTTTAAACTTGTTATTATTTGTTGAAATAAATTGTTCATTTTTATACCTAATAATAAAAAAAGAATTTACATGGTACTTATTATTATTAAAAACGTATTTTATTTTAATGTTCTAAAAAATAAACAAAATATATTTCAAACATTATACATTTTAAAAAACCATACATGGGAAATCATTAAAACAACCTATCTCAATATAAATATTTTATAACTACACGATAAACCATCTAAAACCATTATTTTACTCTAAATATAATATTTATATATTTAAAATACATTATAAGTACAAAATATATTAATTAAACATTACCAGTACTGAACTTAGTAAGTATAAATCATTTAAATCACGTTATTTGCTGCTCCTGAAAACCTACAAAAACTGAGATACGTGGTTTTGCAGTATAAGCGACGTGTCTGTCTATGTGTCGTTGTACGTTTATTTTCAATTGTAGATGCCATATGGAAACAATATACGCAGATATGACGTCCGCTTGATATTAACTGGTTTGCCAATTTATTTTGTATTTAATTTTAGGTTTTTAGCAACAGGGGATTCGTACTCGACAATAGGTCATACATTCAGGATGGGATTTTCAACCGTGAGCCTTATTGTAAAAGAGGTTTGTAAAGCCATAAACCGGAGGTTAATTGAAAAATATATGCCTAAACCAACATCCGAAATTTGGGAAAAATCGGCACAGGATTTTTTAATGAAATGGAATTTCCCAAACGCTATTGGTAGTATTGATGGAAAACATGTTACCATGAAATGTTCAAACAACACGGGTTCAAGGCATTTTTGCTATTTAAAAAAATTCTCCATCGTACTTATGTTTATTGTAGACGCAAATTATAAATTTCTATGTGTTGACATTGGTGGCTATGGCCGGAATAGTGATGGGGGTATTTTTGAATGGTCAGTGATGGGACAAGGTTTCGAAAATCAGACGATGAATGTGCCAACCGATAAACCATTAAAAGGTCAAGTGCATGACACACCTTATGTGCTTCTTGGTGACGAAGCGTTTGCGTTAAAGCCTTATTTAATGCGTCCATTCCATTATCGTCAGTCTAGACAAGATCCTATAAAAGTGACATTTAACTATAGATTATGCAGAGCGTGAAGGGTTGTCGAAAATGCATTCGGAATCATGGCCAAAAAATTCCGCATCTATTCCAGACCATTGGAAATAAACGTTGATACAATAAACACTGTAATAATGACAACGTTCATCTTGCATAACTTTTTAAGAACGAGACAATCAGGAGACGAAGAATATTTTGATAATTTAGAGGAAGAATATAATCAACAAGATCAAAATATGTTATTGCCATTTATTAATGATAGTAGAAGAGGTTCAAACGAAGCATTTGAAATTCGGAAAAAATTTATTAATTGGTTTATTGAAAATCGGTTAGAAAAATAAGTGACTATATATCAATAAATAATTCAATATAATAACTTTTTGTTGTGTATAGGTATCAAAGAATGTATAATGTTTTTAGAAGAGGTCAAGTTTTTGAATATTTATATTTATGTAACAACTTTAGTTTAATTTTAATTTTTGATGTTATAATTAAGTATTATATTATGTTATTTATTTATATAACATGTATACATTTATATGTAAAATATTTAACATATTTAAAATATTGTATATTATAATATTCTTTGATATTTATATTAAATATGATTGTTAGATGAATACATTATCAACATTATATTATGTAATACATATTATATAATATTATTATAATGTAACATTAATACCTATTTAGTAAATATTAAATTTATTAGCTACCTAAATTGTATTAGGTATTATATAAGTTTTAATTATAAAAAATATACATTTGTATATCTATTTTAAAATAATTTACTGAAGAAATTGTGCACCTACCTATTATTTATACTAAATAATTAATAATACATTCATTCGGTGAAATTAATTTTGTTTATTTTTGCAAAATTGCATTATACTATAATTTTATTATAGTATTATACAAATGTATTTTAAATAAATATAGGTATAATAATGATAATAAGCAGGGCTCGTAAGTTCATGCACTATAATACACACAATTATGTATGAAGTTTTATTTAAAAAAAGTCAGTCAAAAGCTTTCAATTATTTTATCCTATTAATATTTTATTCTACCATATAATTTTTATCGAAAATATGAGGATGCAAATTAATAAGTACAATGTACATTATAACTGTACAATTGACATTCTTCAAATCATAATAAATGCACAATTATTTTTAAGAAAATGAATATAGGTACCACCAAAACCTCAAAATTTGAAAAAATTAAATTTTATATACTGAGTTATGTCATTTTAAAAGGAAATTGAATGCCAATTAGCAAAACGTAGCAAGATTGATAAGCATATTTATTAGCTTACGAGCTCTGATGATGACTTACCTTTTTCACCTCCCATCGATTCACTTATTTCAACATCAAATACACGGTCTTTTTTCTTGTGGTCTTTGTAGTCTTGATGTTCTTGGTTATATAATATTTCGTATTTTTTAACTTCAGCAATAAGTTGCTCGATGTTAATTGACATGTTGCTTTTAAAATTATCTAGGTAGGTACCTATCTGTACTCTGTCAAACGAGAGAATGATCAGTCCACCGACCGATTCTCGTCAGTGCCACTCACCCCCACCAACTACCTAGTATATTTAAACGTCATCACTTGACAAAGGAAAGTTCACGATAAAAGACTTTTCCAAAAATTATATATCAAAGTATACTATTTTAAATTTAGATCATTAGCAAAATTACTGGAAGGCTGAATAATTATAGAACTCAACATTTTGAGAGTTCTAGATTTCTTTGAAATAACTTACTGATGAACCTGATATTCAATACTACTTTGCAATGGGTTGTTGGAATGTCGTTAACTATAAATGTATACTATTTATACTACGAAATTTATGTTAGTACCCAGATAGCATTTTCGTAATGATAATATTTTATTAATATCATATCTTCACTATAGAAATAATGTTTTAAAATAAACATCAATAAATCATCAAATAATTATTTAATGAAATAATATTATGAAAGAATTAATAATATGACACCAAAAACGAAATAATAAAATAATATTCAGAATATATTATTATTATGTTATTAAATATTAATAGTTTAAATTTTATTTCGAATATATTAATAATATGACATCAAAAACTAAATGATTAAATAATATTCGTAATGTATTATCATTATGTTATTAAATATGAATTGTTTAAATTATATTTTGAATATGTTAATAATATGACATAAATAATGATATAATACAATAATATTCCGAAAATGTGATCATAATATTATTAAAATCTAAATAATTATATTACGTCTCAGAATAATATACAGTGTGATCACGATTTTATAGGTACGACTGAATATCTCAGCTGGGTGACTTTGTATTGAAATGGGGTTTTTGGGAGGTGATAGGGAGCACTTAAATACATATTTTCAGACCAGTTTAAATTTTTTAGCTCACTCGATACGCGCATGCGCAATACAACTTACTTTTTTTTAAATAGCATATCCAGTTTTTTTCTGCAGGTTCGGGTAGAGTATTTTTTTTAAACATTTATTGTATTAAAAGTTTTTTTCTATTTTAAAAACTGACCAAGTTAGAGTAAGTCAAAAATTGGATTTATGCATAATTCGTGTTAAATTATATTTTCATTTATAACCACTGGAAATAATAAAATAAGTGTGAAATAATTAAGCTTTATTTTTAGTGTATGATATTTTGTCAACTGTATTAAGTAAGTGTACCTACCTACTACAAAATAGTTATAACTTATAATAATAATAGTTATAGTAATATATTATAATAAAAAATAAAAATTATTAAATACATTTAACATATGAATTGTTCGATGTTTTCGCTATCATAACTAAACATGATTCCAGTCATTAAAAAAATTCAGTCGGCAACTTCGATTTGGTCCTCACTTAAAATATAATATTATATGCATAATGCATATGCTATTTGTTTTTTGTGTTTTAAGTCTTGAAGATTGACAGGCGGATCAGCATAAACCGCATTATTTCCAGTCGTTATAAACGAAAATATCGGTAAACACGAATATTATATTATATCAACCAAACTTTTGACTTACTTTAACTTGGTCAGTTTTGAAAATAAAAAAAACTTTTTATGCAAAAAATGTTCAAAAAAAATACTCTACCCGAATCTGTAGAAAAAAACTGGGTATGCCATTTAAAAAAAAAAGTAGTTGTATTGCGCATGCGCGTACCGAGTGAGCTAAAAAATTTAAACTGGTCTGAAAATAATATGTATTTAAGTGCTCCCTATCACCTCCAGAAAACCCCATTTCAATACAAAGTTACTCAGCTGAGATATTCAGTGGTACATAATATCGTGATCACAATGTATATTATAATCAAAAAAAATTTTTCAGTAGTTTTCAAAGGCACCATAAAAAACAAATGAAAAATTAAGGAATAAACGGGAATTTTTAAGCAAAATTGATTTTCGACAAAATCGATTTTGGTTTTTGGTGTAACTTTAAAACAATAATTACCGTATAGATACATGAATTTTTGACCGAATTTTTATATTACCATTTTCTACACACCATAGCATTTTCAAAATATTTTGATTTATTTTGAGCTGTTTACGGACAATTTTACATTTCAATTATTTTATCTGTGTTTTTCTCTACAAACATCAATATATCATATTATTTGTTGGGTAAAATTTCTTGAAAATCCATTATACCTATTGGCTATTGTAAACTATCGTACATCAGAGCGACACCGGCCACTTGACCACCTTTTTTTTTTATTAAGTTTAAGTATAAAATTTAACTTTTTACCTAATATAATATATATAATATAATATATAATATTATATTATATTCATAGTCGGACAGTCGGTATTATACATAAAACGAATCTGGTGGCGAAACGGAGTTCGCCGGGTCTGCTAGTATTATATAAATATGTAAGATACCGCGAATGGTCACATTATAATCACATATTATCACGGCTCAAATATTTAAAAAATACAGATTTTACGTTTTTGGGGTATTTAAAACGTAATACAATTTAATGTTTCATTTTATTGCAGTATACGTCCAAACGTTATTTGATATTTTTCGTTTATAACACATATTATTATTAAATTTTTAAACATTTTTGTAAATTGTATTTTTTACATAATTATAACATACAAACATGTACAGTACATGTAGTAACTAATATCATACAATTTATTGGTTCTTATCTGAGAACGTCCGGTATGTACTATATGTACTTGTACCGTAGTCCAGAGAGACTAATAGTGCGCTGGCATTATTCTACCTTTAAGAAATTGAATGGACAGAAAAGAGTTTGAGTTGGTGTGACATACTTCTGTGGGTTTGGATTTTAGGATGTAGGCCGTAGCTGCATGTGTGAAGTAAAATAATAAACTAGGTATAATAATTACAACGCTGCAATATAGTAGTCTATAATCTATATAGCTATACAAGACACAATATTACAATAATAGTATATTAATACCTACTATATTATATAATATGCTGTAATTTTGTGAATATAGATATTATATTATAATTATGTACCTATAAACATTAAATTTTTACGTTAAGTGTAATTGTACAAAATCCATTTTGGTCAAATATATGCCTTATATATAATGCTCATATGCATATATGCTTTGCCACTTTAATCTGAATAATGTGTATGTTGAGTGTTGTAGTATGTATTCAGTATTGTGATTTATTCAAGATCTGTTCAAATTAAGTATGTTCGTTTAATTGTAATTTAAAACACAATTTATATTTGACATAATATAATAAAAATAATAATTAATTATAGGTATAAATAATAAATATATGCCATATGGTCATATGGATCAATGGATGGTCTTATACTTATAATTAGTATAATAATAATAAATAATAATAATATTAGATTATAGGTAATAGCCAATAGGTATTATACTATTACTATAGCTACCGTTACCGCTTATATTATAACATAATACCTAAGGTATACACGAGTATAATATAATATATAATATAGTATAATATTATTATTATGATAATATGTGTTAGAACTTAGAAAATAGAAATAACAATGTATTAAAACATAAATAATATTATATTATATTATATTTTGAATGTGATAACTGATAATCTATAAATATATAATATTATATACCAGATACCTATAATAGTATATAATATATTATATATTTTTTTTTTCTACGTTGCATCTAGCTGTTTATTATCGGATTTGTCCAAACGTACGCCCGCAGCTGCATAAAGCCATAAAGCATCTATTAATAATAGTGTTTTCCGAGTATTGACCCAAACGTTAATAACGACCGATTAATTATAGTGATTATATAATATGTCTATATCAGTAATAATAATATTATATTTTTAATCTTATCATTATGTTTACAATCGGAAATCGCCCAATCGTAACAATGTATTAAAATAAACAATATTATTAAAACCAGACGACGCCGCGTCGCCGCGAGCATGACGGTCGACAGCGACGACACGCGCCACACACACGCATTTCGCGCACCAAACGATTGGTTAAGTTTAATTATTTTCATAGTTTCTTTCATTGTTACTTGTGATTTCTGACTGTACCGAGTTGTGACTTTCCGTACGATATCACATCCATAGTCCAATAATATACGTTCCTTTCAACTTTGATTTGGCAAGACTATTTGGTAACTGGTAAGTAAAATATATACATTAATTTACAGATAATCTACTTCATTTATCATTTATTATAGATATAGTTAATAGGCAAATGTTAATTACGTGGGCAGGGGCGGACTGGGGTAAAAAATCGGCCCGGGCGATCATATATAGGTAAAGGCCCAAAAATTACACAAATATACATTTTTTAATGGCGATAGCTATCATTAATATTAAGCAAACCAAGCTACAGTTTTATAGATTGCATAAAGTAGGTACCTATTGATAAAATAATCACGGTCCACTGGCCCAATAAACCTGCGAGGGCCCGCAATCATAACAGCCCAGGGGGCGATCACCCACTTGCCCTTCGGTCCAGTCCGCCCCTGTACGTGGTTAATAATTAACTGCTTTTAATTGTATTTATCATAAAATAGATAGGTATATTTTAATGTACCCATAAGTCATTCATACAAATGTAAGTGTTTAAAATAGTTGTATAGAATTATGAATGACATTTAAATATTTTCTGAAATTAAAATATTTAAATCAACAATAATAATAGGTATATAATATATAGGTATATTTATATAGGTATTACAATAATAAGTATAATAATATATACCTACATAAGTAACTAGCCTACCTATTTAAACATGTATTATGCATTCTGTATTTATTAATATAGCAGTACCTGTAGCTTAAGTAAAACAACCTACCTAAAATTGTATTTAAATAAAATAATTAAGCAATAGGTATACCTATAAATTATATAAAATTTGTTTTACCTATCAACTCTGACCTGTAAAGTATTCCATATTCAGATAAAATGTCATATCAAAAACAATCAAATCTAAGTAGTCGAACAAAACGAAGAAGAGTAGAAGATGAGTTACGGAATATTAATATCAGTGAAGATGTCATGGTGGTTAATTATGATATTCCTTCTTTAATTGTACCTAATAAAAGTGGATCACAATCTAAAAGTATAGTTGAAATTGATCTGCCAACAAATCCAAATGAAAATAATACTTTTACAAATTTAAATTTAAACCAAAATCAACTACAAGATATTACTGAACTAACTGATCATCCAATTTATGACTCGGCTGATGATGAAATAAAGTATTTATCGAGGGGTAAACCACTATAAAAAATTATGTACACTAGATTACTGATTATCATGATTATCAAGATTATCGAATGATTATCAAGATTATCGAATGATTATCAAGATTATCGAATGATTATCAAGATTATCGAATGATTATCAAGATTATCGAATGATTATCAAGATTATCGAATGATTAGCATGATTATCAAAGATTTATAGAAGATTAACATTAGTCATTAAAGATTATCTTAAACATAATTAGACAACTATATTCTCGACTATATTAGATTACATGGGGGGAAGGGGGGAGTTAACAACTATGTGAGCTCCAACTTAGACTATTGTGGTTCTCAATCCGTGTGTCACGATTTACCATAACGTGTCCCCAAAATTGTACCAAATTGTATATTTTTATTGTACGTGTTCAAAGTACCTACCTATAAATATATGATATTATGACGTTATGATGTGATGGTAAAAACAACAGAAAAGAAAAAATAATCGTGAAGATGGTCTCATTCTGAATTTACATTAAGGCTTTTAAGTTTTGCTTTTTAAAAAATTTAAGTGTGACGCTATTTTTATAATCTAAGTTCGGGTTTTGTAAAAAAAAAGCTGGAGAAGCACTGGTCTATAACATATGCACTCGAATATGCAATAGTTTCCTTCAAGGTTTCTTTATGGTGTATGGATCTAGTACAGTACATTTATTTGAAACATTTATTTATGTGCTTAATATTTTAACATATTATTCAAAGTGACTCCAGTCAGATTTGTCAAAAGTCAAAACTAATGAAGATTTGACATATCTAAACATAAACCTCGATAAACTTTGAGATAAACTTCATTAATTTTAATATTTTTAAATAATATTTAATATATAACTTGTATATAACATTTAAATTCCTTATCATAAAATAAATCTTAAGGTGCAGTCGATGAAAAGAATTGGTTTTTAGACCAAAAAAGCCAGACAAAACCGAGGACAAAACTGAAGGAATTTGGTTTGACGAATTTCAATTTTTAAAAGTGATTTTCATTGATTATCAAGTTAACTAAGTTTCCATCAAGGTGATTTTGAATATCTACTTTTTCAGCTGTCATATCCATGAATAAAAATATAATATTTTTGTATTTATATTAACTCATTAGTACGCATCATGACACTAACAATATTTGGAATATTAAAAATAGAATTGATTGTAACCTAGTAAACTTGTTAATCAATTATGACCAGTTTTCAAAATTAAAATCCCTCACACCAAATCCCTTCAGTTTTATCTGTCTTTTTGGTCTAAAAGTCACTTTTTTATATTGATCAGAACCCCCTTAATAAAAAAAAACAATCTTATATTTCTTTACTTGCCATTTTATTATTTCTCATTCTTAAAAATATGTAGGTACCTACATTACTAAATATATATTATTTTTTTTACTCTTTGACAACTAAATAATTTTGATTTTTAATAATAAATTAGTAAAAAAAAAAAATCAAAACTATATCCTCTATTTCACTTTAGAAGTAACCTTGGCTGAGATCAGTATTATACCTACTTTACCATTTTACTTTACTTCAGTCACTATTAGATACTTCATAATTCATATTGAAAAAGGCAGGAATAAAGTATAAGAAATAGAGCTACCCAATAGGAAACATAAACATTTCATGAAATTAATATAAACAATTTTATTTTAACATGATTAATGATAATACTAGGTTAGGTAATGCAAATTATTCAAATAAATTAAAATCCAAACATAACTTTATATAATATATAATTTTGTAACAAATCAAACATAAAAACATAACTGTTTACCAACTAATAAAATAAAAAACAAAATTATAAAATGAAATAATTAAAAACATAATAACTAGGTACATAAGAAAAAAATTTAAAACATAAAAACATAACTTTTTATCATCAACTAATAAAATAAAAAACAAAATTATAAAATAAAATAATTAAAATATATAATAATTAAATAAGAAAAAAATTTAAAACATAAAAACATAACTTTTTATCATCAACTAATAAAATAAAAAACAAAATTATAAAATAAAATAATTAAAATATATAATAATTAAATAAGAAAAAAATTTAAAACATAAAAACTATTTTTCTTTGACATCAACGTTTCTTGAAAATTCATAGATAAATTTCCTGTGAGACTGGATTAAAATTGGTTGTGGAAGGATGGCCAATACCATTTCAATATTTATCATTGATATATCGTTGTCTTTTATTGAAAATTGTGTACCTTTTTCATTATACTTACGTAGGCCTTGTACCTGGAATATTGTTTCCAGGGTATCCTCACTCTGTGTATATGCCAATTGATGTACACAACAAACATAAATAAATTTATTTTCAATTACATTTTTGTTATGGTCGCTCCCAATAAATTGAACCAACAAATAATCACCAACTTTAATTTTATTTAGTTGAGGAGTTGTTGATTGTGCTTTTGTGGCATTACCGTTATCATTATCGGTATCTTGCTCGGTATATTGTAAATTATTATCTAATGATTTATCATTGTCACATAGTGTAGTAAGATTGTCATCAATATCAGAATTCTCTGGAGTACTTTCTTCCGAGGACAAATTTGGTTTTTTTTTTTTAACAATCTTCCCAATTTCTCTTGCATTGCATTCATTTTTTCCCCTATTTTTTCTTTTAGTGTTTGGTTTTTGCGATGTGTTATTTACAAACCTTCGAAGTCGATCATTACTGACTCTTCGAGTTTTGTTATCAAATAACCAACAAAGACTGGATTTTTTTATCGTCAAACTTTTATTATTATTTAATGTTATTTGAATGAGATCAGGTTTAAGATTAGGGTTATTTTGATCAGAGGTTTTAGCTAGATTGTTATCAATTGAGTTTATAAAATTTTTACAGTTTGAGAAATTTTTGAGAAGTAGATCATTGCCAAAATTTCCAAATTCTGATATATTACATAAATCTTTGCATACGTCATCTGATATGTTTTCTATTGGTGAACTGTCTGTAGTTGGTGTAGGTATTGGTGAATTGTCAGTTTCTTGGCTATTGTAATTATAGTTGTCTATTTGAATGTCTGTATCAATTTTTTCATAGTTCGTTAAATATTCTGGTTTTTCAGATGAGTTTTCATACATTATAATTCCTAAAAAAAAAAAAAAAAAACAGGTTTTATTATTTAGTTAATTTGACATTAAACTATTTTTAATTAAAAAATTACCCAAGTCTGTAGCTGCAAGTTTAGCATCATTTAATGATGCAGCAAGTATATCTTCTATTTTTTTATCACATATTGTTTCAAATATTACAGTTGATTGAAGTTTAGTATTGTTTATAAAATGTCTGGTGTGTTTCTGGTAGCGAGGAAAATTGTATGAACTTTGAGATGGATTCAGTAAATTTGGTAGATCATCTGAATGAGAAGGATTTGGGCTCTGAAGTATATTTTGGTGGTTTTCGTGAAGATCGTTTTGTATCATATTCAATAATTCTATTCGCGTTAATCGTTGTAAAATGTCTTTCATGGTAAAGTTAACCACTGTTGAAAAGGTAGATGTCATAGATCTTGTTGTTCTAAATAATTCTTCGCATGCCTGACTACTAAAGTGCCAAGGAATGAACATATAAGGCCTCAGGCAAAAAGTGCTGTCTCTGAATTTTTTTACCAGAAAGATTAAAGATAATGCGTTAAGTTCAATGCATGAATAGGCATTAGTAGTAATAAAATTATCTTTTAAGCTGTATTCTTTATTTTTTAAAATTGAGTACCTCCATATCCTCAGGAAGTAAACACTACGCCATATTCTATAAATTCGGTCTTCTACAGTTAAAGATTTATCTAAAAACGAGGAAAGTACATTGTTCATGGTTTCCAGAAAACTTATAGTTCCTTGACTTTGTGGTACATGTTTCAAAATTTCTTGTACTATAGGAGCACATATTTTTTCTGCAGATCGAAAGTTCATCTTGTCTTCTGGAACAAGATCGCTCAAAGTTAAAAGGTGTTTGTCTTTTGAAAATGTTTCTAATAATATTTTTAAGTGAGAAACAGATATTGTAAAGTTACCAATTGGTAAAACTATGTTAGGTTTTAATAATCTTGTTCTAAGTTTAGTACCAATGTGAACTGTGTCTTGAATATAGAATTGTGTGCTTTGCTGTTGGTAAGTGTTAATTTGCATAGCTTTTAAAAGTCTAGTATCACCATCCGAAGAATATCCTAAAATTTTGATACCAAAATCTCCAGCCATTTTTTCCATAGTATTCCATCGGTTTATCACATCTTTATGGTTGAATCTGTTATTTGTACCAAAAATACTCAAGCAGAATGTTGGAGCATTTTCATGTAGAGGCTTCGCCATTATTACATACGCATAATTTGCTTTTTCATTATTTTGAAAATATTGTCCAATTGTATTAGCTGAAGTGGCTGAGTATGCATTAACATTTGCCATGCCATTTTCAAAAGGCAACACAAAACCGATAACTTTATCAGAAATTTGGTCATATTGTATCTTCCCCATAACTCTGGTACCATCTTCGCTAACCCAAACACAGAGAGGTAGATTTCTTTCCAACAAAAACTCTTTTAGTTCTTTAAATCTATATTCTCCTTCTACTATATTTTGTTTTTTAGTTGAAATAAATCTATTCAATGAGCTTATTGATGGCAACGAGTTTGTTAAATTCGATTGAAGTGTTTCATATAAAAGTCTTCCCCCAACAAAATATAAAAATACACAAAACTTTTTTAGGGATTCATCATATCGATTTGCATTGGGACTAGGAAAATTTGAATTCCTTAAGGCTGAATTACAAATTGATTTTAGTAATGTACTGGTATCTGTTTTTTTTATAAAAGTTTCAACTGATATTTCTTCCCAAGGCGGCATATTGTTCTTGAGATCTTCCAATGACTCATTAAATATATTATTTTCATTGATGTATTTATTAATTTTATCTACAATTTTAAAATAGTTAGTTATTAGTGGTTGATTTTCTCCATCATTCAATAAACTGTGTACTCGAGCACGC